ACTTTTATGTCATGATACACGATGGATGTCAACTTTAAGTATAAAATATTAGGTCGTGAAAAAAGTTTCTTCGTATTTTATAATACAAATTTCAGACATTTTTTAAGTTTAATTACATTTAATTATAATATTTATTGCCATTTTGTTCGCCAACTTGTTACCTTCTTGTAGGTAGTGACATAATCCTGTTGCTGTAAAAATCTTGGGATTTTTGGTAAAAAAATGCGACGGGTAGTTTTGACAGTCCTATCTTGATGTTAACCTAACACTATCCAAAGAATTCTGAAGAGACCGAAACAGATGAGAATCTGAGGGTTCAAGATCAGGAATATATGGTGGATGCATTAACACTCCCAACTGCTAGTAGTATCAGTTACTCGACTCCACCGAGTCAGTAATTCATTCTTCGGGCGATGTACGCTTTTACAACAAAATCCCAGAAAATATACAAAATTTGACCTGCACAAAGTTCAAAAACTTTATTAAACGAAGTTGATATAAAAAGGGTAATTATAATATAAAGGTATTTATGGATGATAATAATCCCTGGGAAGGGTGATCGCTTCGAAGCTATTTCTAATTTGTTGTTTTGTTTATTGATACGTAGATTGTAAGCTGTTATTTAAAAAACAAGTCCTGCTGGGTATCTTGCTGGTTCTTCCTAAGACAGAGTTTTTTCCGTATCAGTGGTAAATTAAAAAAGTGACTTTCAATAAGTATTATTTATAATCCATATTGAATAAAAAAGTTTCTGTTTCTGATTCAACTAAACTCTCTTAATTTTTGCTGAGAAGCCCAAGATGTGTGCTCTGGCGTTATCATGATGAAGACCACTCCTTTTCTGTTGATCAATTTCGCCGATTATTCTCAATTTCTTTTTTGATTCTCATTAGCTGTTGGCAGTAGAGATCTGAATTTGCCCGGCGGTTAAACCTCATAATAAACGATGCCCTTCCAATCCCACCATACACACAGCATCATCTTATTGCATGTTAATCCAGGTTTCACTACAGTGTGGAGCTTGACTAGCCTTTGTCCATGATCTTTTTCGCACGTTCTTGTCGCATGCTAGTAGGTGACCCACAATTCATCACCCGTGATCAATCTTTTTAAAAATGGTTCGGTTTCATTACTTTTTAATAGAGAATCGCAAATGAGTACACAATTCATTGGGTATCGCAAACACATCAGGAATTCTTTCAGTGAGTTCGTGTGGTACCCAAATATCAAGCTATTTTGTACAGCCAGACTTTTTAAAATAGGTTTAAACTATTTTGTGGTCAATGCTTAATTCCTCGCCTGGTGGCCGTAACTACTAATGTGCCGATCTTGCTCCACTTTTTCTAACATGGCATCGACTTTATCCGTACGGGCGACCAGAGCAACCTGCATCTTTGATATTAAAATTCTCTGACTGAAAACGCTTCAACCAACTTTGCGTTACTCTTACTGACACTGCATTAGGTCCATAAATGTCCCATTTCTGTAATAAAACTTCAGAATGTATCGAATTTCTTCGTTAAATTCACTCATTTTGGCAGACAGAAAAATAATTGAAAAATGGCGGGAAAGTGATTTTTACTTTTTATTTTTCTTGTTCTTAATAAAACCAGCCAGATACAAACAGTACAAGCAAAGCGATTTTTTTCTTCAATTTTATACAAACGAAACACGAAGAATCTTTTCCCTCGACCTATTAGTTGTAACTGACCGCCTTACTACAAAAATAGTTTATAATTAGGCTCAGGTTTAAACTTGAAATAGTGACCTAAAATGTACAGTCTGAAATTTGACAGCTAAAATGTTACGAAGACTGGCGTTGCGGCAAAGAGACTTCTGTCGTGAAGACTTTTAAATCATGGTTGAACGAGAAACTATTACTAAACCATGTTTTTGTTTGAAATATGACGGAAATAATCTAAAAGTAATCTATGATCTTAAATTTTTCCCTATTGAAGCGGGGATATCTTTTTTAATGCTACCAATTCACGAAGCGCATTCATCTATACTAAGAAGCTTTTAACGACCAAGAAATGGTAGTAATTTTATTCGGAAATGCTGAAACCAAATTCAAGAGTGTTTTATTCTTGACTTTTATGTAAAGCATGTGATTTTTCTGTGCATTATTACTAATTGAGAGTAAATTTGATTATAATAAACGGTGTAAAATCTTGAATAGTTCTTCGAGTGTTGTGTCTATGCTTTCAATATGTACAGTTTCAGAGTTAACATAAATAAAACAGAAAAATTTCTTACTATTTATACATTGATAATGCCTTTTGGTTCGATTTATATTAAATAATAATCAAGCAATTACTAATCAAAAGTCATTCCCTATTTTTTTAATAATTTACAGTACTTGTATCCTGTACAGTATTTATATCAAATTTTTATGTGAAAAGAAAAATAAAGAATAACATACGTTGGAAGTGTTCTAAAAATAAAGTAGTACGCTATTGTTTTTATTACTTTTTTTTAAATCAATTTGATATAAAATAAGTACAGCGTAAAGAATACGACTAATTTTTAATTATTATAGTACTTGTAATAACTGTCTCGTTGGTCTAGTGATCGTAACGCGAATGATGATCATGAGAGCTCGGGTTCGAATCCTGGGTCGGGTTGAAATCAGTAATTGGGTTTTCCTGCAAGAAAATCTCAGTTGCAGTCCAGGGGCAAAAGTTGGCGGTGTATTATCTTATTAGCTTTGCATGTAGATATCTGCTAAGATGTATTCTCCGGTTCTTGTCATCATTAAAATCTCAGTCGAAAATTGGTGCTATTTTGCGCTAATATTGATAGTAATGCTTTTAACATTACTAAGGATGTTACCACACCAATCGATCGATCGTCGATCGATGCCATTGATTGATGTCGATCGATTGCCCTGGTAGTTCTAGCTGATCGACGGACGCTTGTTAAAACGTTGTTCAATCATCGACTCTTCATCAGTATCTTTCAAACTGAAGTCGGTGGAGCGGGCGGCTTCTCGCATAATCAAGCAGCACGATGGACGTCGACCAATCCATTCTACCATCGATCGATGCCATCGAATGATTGGTGTTGTAGAAATTATCGATCGACGTCGACTAATCCATTCTACCATCGATCAATGCCATCGAATGATTGGTGTGGTAGAAATTATCGATCGAAGTCGACTAATCCATTCTACCATCAATCGATGCCATCGAATGATTAGTGTGGTAGAAATTATCGATCAACGTCGACTAATCCATTCTACCATCGATTGATGCCATCGACTGATTGGTGTGGTAGAAATTATCTGTGTGGTAGAAATTACGATCAACGTCGACTAATCCATTCGTGTTTTTCCACCGTCGATCGATGCCATCGAATAATTGGTTTGGTAGAAATTATCGATCAACGTCGACTAATCCATTCCACCGTCAATCGATGCCATCGAATAATTGGTGTGGTAGAAATTATCGATCAACGTCCCTCGACTAATCCATTCTACCATCGATCGAATACCATTTAATGATTGGTGTGGTAGAAATTATCGATCAACGTCGACTAATCCATTCTACCATCGATCGATGCCATCGAATGATTGGTGTGGTAGAAATTATCGATCGATGTCGACTAATCCATTTCACCATCGATCGATCGATTGATGTGGTAACACCCTAACACTCCTGTTAGCCACTTGTTTTTACACAATTTTCAAAATCATTATGCTTCTACTAGGTGTGTTTCACGACAGTAGTTGAATGGCAGATTCAAACCCACGACTTTAGATTTTATCTCCACCCTTAACCATAATTATTTAATTATATTAAAAAGGCCTATTATTACCAGGCTATGTTTAGACTGTCTTACTATGATTAAGATTAATTTAATAACATATTACATAAGTAAGTATTTTTTTGCATTTACAATATCCTTAAAAATAATGATTTTCATTTTTTTTAGCTTCATACCAAAATCGCAGATTTTATGTTAAATTAAAACAAGTTTTTGCTTAGTGTCAGAATATGTATTTTTTATTAAAACAAAAGTATTCATTTTATGTGCAAGTTTTATATAATTTCTGTTTTTTCTGAAACACGGGAAATATTTTTATACGCTCACTTCATATTTTTGAGGGTTAAAATTCGTGAACTTTTCACAATTTCAAGTTATTATGTACACTTTTTACAATTTGTTTACAATTTTTACGTTTCGTAGTGTGAACTTTAAACTTGTAGATTCTTGTCGTTAGAATGTAAGATAATAAATGTGTTTAACCCTAATTCATGCACATTTTTTATTTATTTAAAAAAAATTACCTAAGGTAAATTGGACATAATTTTATTACGCTATCGTAGAATTTTATACTTCTGATGTCGTTTATTTCATTTCGTTTCATTTATATGAAAACGGAGCATACTGATGACGAGCGTAGAAGTTTCGTAGCCGCTGCTACGCAATGCCTTATCGTGACGTCACGTGTTTTCTTGCTACACCTATTTTGCAATGTCTCGCTTTATCGTCACTCGAATGATTATCTGTTTACGACACTCGAGATCACGTTTAACAACTCTGAGTTGCGAACGTTACAAAGTATTTTGCCAATATTGCAACAAAGGTGCAAATAAAAAAAAAAACAGTTTAAATAAACAAGGTTGTACTTTGGAAGTTTTGCTAGATATTTTTGATAAAAAGTTCATTTGAATGGAATTGGAATAGTTACGTAATTAGAAATGTCGAATTATGAGTATTTTGTTTTCATAAAGTTTGGTAAGTTCTTAGACGTGTGTGTATGTGGAGTGGAGGGGGGGGGGGGCACGGGTGAGGGGTGGTTGTCTAAATGTGGCAGTGTGGGCGCGCAGTGGGCGGGCGCGCGGGGGCGGGCGCGGCAAGCCGCAGGGGACGGGCGCGAGCACGTGTCGCGCGCTCACGTGGTGGTGGCCAGCGCGCCGTGCCTCGCGTCCATCGTGCCGCGAGTATGAATAATTGTGTACGGAGTGAATGAATCGATGCGGTGCGGCGCGGGCGGTATGCCGGCGCGGGGGGGGGGGGTGGGAGAGCGGGCGGCGGTGCTGCGAGGAGGGGGCGCGCCGCGGCGCGGCAGTCTCGTGCCGGTAGTCGGTAGTGTAGCCGAGCGACTCCGGGAACCGTCCCCGCCGCGTCGTCGCTCGCTTGTAGTCGTAGTGCGCCCATCGGCCTGCCCCACGCCGCCGGCGCCCGATCCCATGGAAACCCAAAGTCAGGATGTCGCCCACAGCCCCGCCGAGGTGCCCAACGACCCGGGGTATGTCCCACCGTCCCCCGAATCGTCACTCCGAAAGCATTTTCTCGTCTAATGGTGATGTTTGTGTTGCAGGAAGATGTTCGTCGGGGGCCTCAGTTGGCAGACTAGTCCAGGTACGCACGTCGGCCGCAGGCCGCACTCCGACCATGACGTCTACGGAAGTGTATTCGATTCACTTGCCGGTGGCGGCTGACATCCCGCTTAAATCTTCGTCTTTTTCCCGCCTGATTGTGAAGCGGAGGATGCAATTTGTAGCAGTTTTCTGTGATAAAATAAAAGTCGTACATAAACATCGCGAAAGTTTGGTAATCAGCTGTTTAGTAGCGTCTTGATAATGTTGTTGTTAGGGACATTAAGTAGTACGCAAAAACTACAAATTAATATGTGCGTCAAGTATAAATTAATCGTAGTTAATTTATTATATGTCATGCTGTAATTCAGTTAAGATGTCAAGGTGTATCGGTAGTCAGGTGTGCGGTGGCGGCCATGCCTGGTGCGCGCGCATTCGCTGTCGTCGCTCTGACATGCTCGATTTTAAGCTTTAAGCGAAAATGATCCTTACGGCTTGCAAGTTCAGTGAAAATTTCTGTTTCAGCGAAGCGTCACCGGCTGTTGTTCTAAACAGTTATCACAACATAACCTTAAACTTAAGTACGTAGAGCACGACACGCACCGGTCCGATTACGACGTTTATTAATAACAATTGGCAATAAGAAATAAAATTGTATTTGATTATATCATGTAAATTTTTAAATACATAAAAAAATCGTCAAGCTTGTTTTATTCCTATCCCGTGAAGGCAATCGTAGCTTAGCACATATTGATTAAAAAAAACGCAAAGTTGGTTTAAAATACTTTAAAGAAATCATTGAAATTCTCTTTAATTGATCTAAATTGTAGTATATAATATAACTAAAATAAAAAAGAGCAAGTGTTATGATCTCAGTTTTAAAGCATAACTGCAGTACTTAGTTAATTATTAGATTTGGTAAAAGGTCCGGTGCGCGTGCGCAAAAGTAAAATCGTATTGGGCCGTGCGCCCACAACGCACTCTGATCCCCTATATCGATGCCAACTTTATTCTTTCCTGGGGATATCAGGGCGATTGAATATGATTTGACTGTTGGTTATCATTGATTTTTGATTACATATATAAATTAATTAGAGTTGCAACATAATTTAAACATTTATTTACAAATAACAATACTATGTAAATATCGGGAAAAACTTGTTCATTAAAGTCTTGCTTTTATTTATGAATTAATGCCTTCGGTACTTTTAACGTGGATCTGTTGCCTCTGGTTTTTTAAAATCACCTATTCATTTGATGGCTTTCTGCCAAACGCTACTTGAGCAGTGCTCGACGCTTTATGACAGTTTATTAAAAGAATAACAAGCTAAGTGTTTTAAGTCTATTGAAAATTTTTATTATCATTTGCGCCTCGTAAACAACGCCGTTTTTAAATTGTTGGATATTTGAGTGAATTTAGTTTATTAAAATGAAATTTTTGCATAATGTGTTTGCACCTCTGGCGCTACGTGATATGTTGTGAAAAAAATATCGTTCGATAAGATTTATATTATTGGTTCTCTTATCCTAATCTTCACACCTTAAAAAAAGTCAATCACATCTGACTGATAAGATTGACGAGTTATCAGACATATAAAACGTCTCAAAATATAAAATTTTAGAGGTACAAAAGACTATAGTAAATGAGTATTTATCGTTTATTCCATTATAATTAAAGTCCTTAAATAAATATAAGGAAATTACAATAGTTATAATAGTAGTAACCATTATAACAAGATGAAAAGATGAAACTACCATTTTTAGGGTTATGCTGTTTCATAATAATAATAATACGATGTTATTACAACCATTTTTTTCACAAAAAATGCTTTTTGTTACATTTTAAAGACTAGTATTAAATTTGTCGAAAGATCGCTTTATACGCCAGCGGCCGCTGTAAAGTTGACATTACGACGTGTCTTTGAAATTTGCACCTTTTATATATATATATATACATTAACATCTCAGTGTTTACGCATATAGCCACTTCGTAATACAAAAGGAAAACCCATTAACTTTAATAAAATACTTGAAATTTTAAATAAAAGTAGTTTTTACGGATTTTATCGCGTATATTAACTAATTTTATATCCCCGAAGTTTCGATTCGATATTTTTATTTATTTCTATTTCGTTTGCGTAATCATTACCAACCATCGTATTTATTTCATCTCGTAGTTAAAACATATTTAAATATGTATTAAATTGAATGAAATCTTCAAATGTCAACCAGTGCCAAATGAATATTGATTGTTCGTTATTTATTTCTGTAAAGTTAAATCGGACTGACTGGATATCTTCGAATCAGCGTGTCAATGATATGTCAGGCGCGCGAAGTGAGCCAGTTAATGGAACTCAACCTTTTGTCTACCGACTACCTACTTGCTGTGAAGCGACTCATGCTTATAGCACTGAAATAATGAGTTCTCCTTTACAAACAAAGTTAGAATAATAAGCTCGTTTCACTTTGCAGAAGGATTTCCATTTAAATATCGTCACAAAAAGGTGCAAATTTCAAAGACACGTCGTAATGTCAACTTTACAGCGGCCGCTGGCGTAGAAAGCGATCTTCCGACAAATTTAATACTAGTCTTTAAAATGTAACAAAAAGCATTTTTTTATGAGAAAAAATGGTTGTTATAACATCGTATTATTATTATTATGAAACAGCATAACCCTAAAAATGGTAGTTTCATCTTTTCATCTTGTTATAATGGTTACTACTATTATAACTATTGTAATTTCCTTATATTTATTTAAAGACTTTAATTATATATGTATAATTAAATAATTTTGTAATTCACAAGTAAATCTAAATAATAACAAATGAATGATCATTATGAACCGTTGCTAGGTCATTGCACTAATCAGATATTGCACTTTGACTCCAACTATGATGAAATCGACCGCAACTAATGATGGCGGAGAACTGAATTTTCTTTGCAATAATTAGTTAGAGAAGGTGTCGTTGCTTAAGGCCGTCGCGTGGTCCGACACAATGCAGATGGGAACGAGACCGGCACACTGAACTCTTTACGCTTATTATGATGGTGATTGTTTGCCGTCTCGCGTTCGCGCTACGCGAGCAATGCATTGTCGGAAAGAACTTTTAGCATTTACATGATTTTGTTTTACAAATGAATATTTTAGAATGCATTGGTGACTATCACTTTACTAAATTTTAAGGTTATATGAATTGATATATATATATATATATATATACGAAAGACCCGCATACGTATATATCGATATAAATTAACTTCCAATTTTTCGTCGTTGTTACATATCCGCAAGTTGTCACTATAGGACTATATCAACACACTTAGTCTCAGTGGGGTTTTCGAAATATAATAAATGAGATCGTTTCTATTCATTCGCGCAGAAAGAAATTTTGTTTTTATCTGATATTTCAAGTTATTACTGCCGAGTAATATTTTACAAGGATGTTGACAATTTTGTGAGTAAAATCTCGTGCTGTAACAATTTAAACTAAGCGAGATGTACTTATAAATATCGATTCATTTGTTACGTTGCATCCCATGCTGAATTGAAATTGAAATGAACTGAAAATTTGATATATAATTTATTTTTTGACAAAAAATCTTAAAGCTAAAAACTTGCGATGTCTTTTACATGCTTAAATCTCAACACAAATACATTTAGGAAAGTAATCTTTTAAAGTTATCAAAAAACAATTTTTTATTTAATAGATGTCAAAATACTGGTATTGCAACACGGACTTTTTTAATAAGAAAACTAGAAGTTTGAAGCAAGTTAAAGAAGATATTTTTTGCTACTACAATTGTTTTAAGTCTACTACAGTAAAAACTCAAAATCAATATTCATAAAAAGCACTATAAACAGTAAAACCTAAACGTAAAATGCTTAGGAGATTTCAAGTGGTTTCTCCCAGAGCACAGTGCCAAGTCCCGTACTCCAGTAAAATCTCCATGTCTCATCACCTCATCATGTACCCACTCTATCTAGTTTGAGTGCGGCGACCCTCAAACTGCATTCATTTCATTCAGTACAATTTATGGCTTTTTCCCAAAGAATGAGCCGAATATTTTTTTTCTTCTTCCTTTTTCTACTTTGTCGGAAAAAACTCAACACAGATTGTGTTTGGTTTTGCTTGTACTTATCAAGTATTTCAAACCATCAAGTACAAAGCTTTTTGACGACCAAATGTTTTAACTGCTACGATTTTCTGGTGACCGACTGATAATGGATAACTCAAAAACGCTGAACCTTAATGTCACAGACTTGCGAAGGGAGTGGCATGTTAGAGTCAGGATATGGGTTGGTGCCTATTCAGGTGCCTTAAAGAGTTTTGAAGCACCTATTCCACTAGATGATTTGAAGTCTTTGTCTAAGTAAATGGACTAAAAAGCTTCTTGTTATATTTAAAACATCAGTATTTAATAGTCAGAGCACAATTAACTGCTCTTTTTCGAGTTTGTAGACTTAATCGGTTTTATTGCAAGACATGGTTTATACAGTCTCAGGTCATTTGTATCAATAATGCTTGTTTCTTAAACCATGGCTTAACCCATGGTTAAGCTCGAAGTGATCAATAAAACACGTACCTATTGCAATACCTAAGACTATATTAATTATAAGATATTATTTATACTATTATTTAAAGGCTATTTACTACTTTCTCCTTGGAATGGGGATTTATCGCGGTTTTCTTTATCATCGCAAGTAAGATGAAAGCTGACTAAATAGCAATTAACCTTTGAGACACAAGGGATCGAACTTGCGTTACAAGCGTACCGTGATATTTCAAGTAAGCGCCCGATCCCTTAGCAATTCCGATTCATTTTAATGAAGTGATCTATTTTAAGTTGCTGGGGACACATTTACATTATATTTATGATAGTAAAAGGGCTCTTTTGAATGCTGGTTTATTCTAAAATAGGTTAAAACTATTATTTACAGATTTTATCGTGTTTAATTACTGCTGTAAAGCACCCAAAACTTTGGGATAATAAAAATAAGTTAAAGTAGTAATTGAACGCGATAAAATCCGTAAATAATAGTTTTATTCAATGTGTAGTGTTCGCGTAAATTTAAGAAGTCTCTGAAACAGGTTTGCAAAGCGTGATCTGTAGCGAAAATATT